GCACAGCACTGAGTGTGACCAACGCCGCCGGATGGCACAGCACTGAGTGTGACCAACGCCGCCGGATGGCACACTTGGGAATGGTTAAAGGGGTAAATTTGATGTCATGTATATTTTACTACAGTAAAAACAAATGCACACAACAGTACAATTGTGAAATGCCAAAGGGATTTTGTTCTTATTGTACAAACAGTAACTCTACCTCCTGAGGGTTCAGCCTCAATAAATGCTCAGCTTCTAGGACCCCAGCTAAATCCAGCTCTAACCACCAGGCATGACGCCTGGCCATTCCTGAGAAACAGGTTTCCTGAGAAATGCCCTTGACCTTCAGAGCAGGACTGAGTCAACGAACGCTGAAACCACCAGGTGAAAACCGGATGGGGAACTCGGTAATGAAAGAATCAGGCAGACGCCTGTGAAGACCCTGTGAGCCTGCTGACTGGTGGGGTCTGCAGAGACCAGGGATGCGCCACACCGCGTCCTAGCGCTAACGAGCTCCTCCAGCGGCTGCTGACCAAATCAGCAACCTTCATCAATATCAGCATCACTAAAAGTGGGACAGCCAGACCTCGTATGCCTTCTCATGGGATGCAGTGGTGCCACCTATGAGGTATCCTTGCCAAAAAGGAAATCAAACTGGAACCTAATCCACCCTCAGGATGTAACTACAGATTCACAGGATATAGGAGTTAGGATCGTAACCGCAAGGTTACCATCAGCCAAATCTAGAACGTGAAACGCTGCAGGATGAACAACCCACTTTCTTCCACAAATACACAGCTTTAAAGAAATATAACACAGAGAGGGAACAGTTCAAGATTAAAAGAGACTTGAGAGACACATCAACCAAATGCTATGTGTGGACCTGTTTCCATCCGGCTCAAACCAACCAACTGTAAAATGACAGTTTTGAGACAACTGGGGACAACTGGATACAGAGTGGACTTCAGAGGATAATAAAGAAACACTGCTAATTTCACTGGGTGTGATAACGCTATCGTGGCTATGTTTTTAGCCGTTAGATACATTCTAGTGAAAAGATAAAATGTTTGGGAGTTGCTTTAAAGCACCCTAGGAGAAAAAGTGGCAGGGGGTGGGGGTGGATATCTGAAATGAGAACGGCAGCACGTTGATAACTGTTGAAGGTGATGATAGGTACGCGAGGTTCATTAAACTATTCCCTCCACTTTTGTGTTTACTTGAAAATTTCTGTAATAAAAAGATTTTATTAAAAAGAAAGGAAACATGCAGAGGAACAGTGCTCTCCAGTGACTGAGCTGACTACGCCGCGCCTTGGAGGGCAGCAAAACAAACTCAAGCCTTTTTGTGAGGTGAAGCACACATCTCAGGCAAGAACACCTAGATAATGAAGCGATTTGACGGGGATTGCTGTAAACCGAGATGGAAGAACTACTCCTGGGTAATGGGCTGATCACAGGGCAAGAGCAGGTAAGAGCTGGCTCAGAGGACGGGACACAGGCTCCATGAGACTTCTCAGCCAAACAAAAGCCCCACTCCTGCCCCGTGTCCTGCTGCGGGGTGTCTGGCCAGCGCGGCTGCAGTGCCGCCACTGGCCCAGCCACCACCATCTGCTCCTCTGACAATGCTGCCGGTGTGGGGTCTGCCTGCCCAGGGCCTGTCCACGCAAGGTCAGCCTCCTCCACCCGACCTGCTGTGACCGCTGTCCCCCGCCCTGCCGGGAGCAGACACCTACGTGCCATTCTGCTGCTGCTCAATTCCTGCCACCTGACGCCGGGACTGAGTGGGATCCGTCTAACCACAGACACTCAGCCTTGCTGTGACGACCCCGTGAACCTGCTGCTGGCCAGTGGGGGCTGCAGAGACCCTGGACGTGCCACACCCGTCCTAGAGCTGTCAGGCTGCAGCAACCCCCGCCGCTCAATCCCCTGCTGCACGCATAAGGACCCCTGAGCTCTCTGGGACTTTTCAGCTCTCTGTTCCTTACTGCACTCTCCCAGACTCACGCGGGTCCAGAGACCGCTGTCCCATGGATTATTCTTCCGCTTTCAGAGATATAAATAAGACTATTAGTCAATACAACTTCATTTTTCTGGCTTAGCAAACAACAAAAAAGTAATGGGGCAAAAAAGAAATTTATCAAATGATATTTTCTAGAAGTTTGAGGCTACTCTCCCTTATTGAGGTCCCTGGGTTACTCCTTCTCTTCCATTTCTTTTATAAGTTTTCTTCCTCCTCCCACCCTCTTACTGTTTTCGTTCACAAAAGAATCAGTCTTCTCTATATATGTTCACGTTTATTTCTCTCTCTACCTGCTAGGGCCATGAGAACGCTGTCTCGGTCTCCTACTGTAGGGAGGGGTACGGGCCCGTGGCCCAGCTCTGGGCTCTGAAATCCACTGCTGCATTTACCCCACAGTTCCATCTCGCACAGGCTGCTCCCAGCCAGTGGTGGGATGAAAGAATGCTAAGGCAGGTCTGGTCCTGGGAGGCGGGGACTCCCCTGACAATTGATGTTGGCGCAAGAACCTTCTAATGGCCTTGCTGAACTCCCTTAGAACTACGCTGCAGTCTAAGATGCCTCCTTCCCTCCCCTGTCCTTCACCTGGGGTCAGACCTGCACTGTGGTCTGCTGGCTCTCCCAGCCTCTCCTGGGCTGCCCAATTTCCCTAGTCATCCGCCTGATAAAGCTCTCCCTGGCTAGTCCCATCTGGCAACCTAGACTAACACAAGCCTTTTCCCCAGAGAAAAGCTCAGGCTATGGTTTCACAAATCTATTTCTCTAGTTTTGTCT